TTGAATGTAGAAAACAAGCCGGGAGACAAACAATGTGGGGAAACCGCATGCATGGAGTGGGCTCTGCCACATCACTGTGTGTGCTGAGGTCTGTTTTTTCCACAAAAAGCAGTTGCTCCTAGAAGAGCAAAGCGGCTTGGCTTTTCTCCTGGCTGCACCACCACTGCTCCATGGTGTTTGGGGAGTAAACACCTGCTCCATCATGCTGCTGTGCCATCACCCTCCCAGCTGCTTACTGTTTCCAGTTTCCTCTGCGACCTGCTTGTTTTGGAGCTCTGGTTTTGCTCCTGGTCTTTGTGGTGCTGGTGATGTGGGTCCTGCCCTTCTCCTGGCTATGCTGCTCCTAGGGTTTGATGCTGGTCCTGGGGTTTTGGAGGAGGAAATCACTCCATGCCCAGTTCAAATGGAAGATGGGGACCACCTATCCAGGCTTGATGGGAGCCAGAGCTCAGCGTGTGCTTTTTGCCTACCTACAGTTTTTTAAAAGTAATACTATTCATCAGCAGATCTCAGAGCACTTTACAGAGGAGAGGGGTAGTGTTAGCTTTGCTTTGTTTTCTGTAGATGGGGAAACTGAGGTGCAGAGGAAGCATTACAAGTTGCAGGCTAGTTCAGCAGTGCTGCTTTCACACCTTGATGAGGCCACCAGCAAAGTCCTGCCAATGTACTGGCCACCTCGCAGGTGGTCCTCATCAGTTTGTATGATTTTGTCCCAAATGTTGTGTGCTCCAGCTGCTGCAGGAGATCAGCTTCTGTATTTGCTTGTACACTACACCTCCGGACAGGCGTCCGCAGAGCCCTGTGACAGCGCGCGCGTTACGATCCCCTGAAGCAGCGGAGCCAATGTGGTGGATCAGTGGTAGGTGCCTACCAGGCATGTTTTGGTTCCCCCAAGTTCATGGAGGCTCTTTGCTACCGCTTCCAAGTTCATTCACAAATTTGTTATTCTTTACAGTAATTCCAAGATTCCCTAGGTTTATTTGAGCGTTGCTGGTAGCAGCCAGGCCGTGCGGTGTTCGTGAACCACCACGCAGGAACCTGATCTGCTGGGATTGGTTCAGCTCCCACCTGGTGACCCAGGAGACAAGGTGTGTAAGGAGCTGGTGGCAAAGGCATTTCTCATAATTCCTGTTCTTTCCACTTTCTTTTCTTAAGTCTCTTGGCTTGAACCCCCAGGGGAGTGGCCCAAGGACATCCCTGCCTGCGTCCAGTCATTTCAGCGCATCGGTGCTGGGGAGGCACCCTGCAGCTGCTGCCTGAAGTGCTGAGTCTTGCAGAAGCGGCAGCTAAAGAGCAGGTAAAGCACCTTGGCCTGACAAACTTCATCTGAGTCTAGATTTTAGGTGACTGGCCCTGGTAATATCACCTCAGTTTTATTCCCAGGTTTCAAAGCACTTCATGAAAGAAGTAATTTAATTATCCCTATTCCATATCTGGGGAAAACAAGGCATGGGAGTGTTATGTAGCTGTGATAAGTGGCAGAGACAAAGCCCAGTGGTCCTGTGTCTCCATCCGGTGCATCATCAGCCGTGATAAGTTTCTCCCTCATTTCTAATCACGCTAATTTCAGTGTGATTCCAAGATTTTTAGCAAATCCAGAGACACTTCTAACTAACATACGAGAGGAGCTTATTGAATCATATGTCTGGAGCTGCTTGCCCAGGGCTGTGCTGCCCTTGGGAGCATGCAGTCTGCAGTTGTGCCTGATGATGGTGGGAAAGGTAGGGGTGACCAACCTTGCATCCCCTCTCTTGCCCAGAACCAGTGGTGGCTGTCCCCAGTGCCAAAAGGGTTTGCCTGGCTTGCTCTGGACGGACATGCTCTGCACCTCCATGGACCCACACTGCTGTCACAAACAGCTCCACGTGAGCTCTCTCTGCCTCTTCTTTATGTAGGGTGGCAAGCCCAAGCCGCTAGCTTTGCTTCTGTACTACGATGCCCCTGTCCCATCCCTGGTCCCCCAGACCAGCAAAACCTTGATCTCAAGGAACCGGGTCCCAAGCCATTGGTTTCTTACCACCAAGGGGTAAGAAGATTCTCCCTAACCTGTGAAATGCAATTGCTAGTAAGGCAGTGCCATTTAACCGCATCCCTGGTTATTTCATCAGGTTTGTAGCAAGTTTCACCAGCTACCAGCACTGGAGCAAAGTCTCCCTGAAACTTTTATATCTCCAAACACCACTGCAGCCAGAGGTACTAGAGGGGACTTTGCTCCTTTCTGCTGTGCTGGGGTGATTCAGCTGAAAGGTAAAAACAGCCCACCCAGCCCGTAAGTCGACAAAAAAGACCAAATGGGAGGTTCCTCCTTGTTGTGGTGGTTGGGTCATGCTGAGTGGGCTCCTCTGGGAAGTGGAGTAATGAGACTTTCTAGCCAAGGCTTGGCAGTGGTGGCTTTTGCTAGTGCCATGCAAGACACACATCTCCCTTTTCCAGCCTTGGGCTTAAGCCCATGTCTTGGCTTTCCCAGCAGGAGCATTCCCGGTGTTGGGTTACCAGCACCTTCCCCTCCGAGGACACCTATTGTTGACTCACCTATTGTAAATAGGACATAATTCCTGGAAACTGTCTCCGGCCACTTTGGTCGGATTTGCAGAGTCATCTGCAGGGTTTCGTGTTACTAGAAGGGAGCAGTTTGTTTTGTGAACAAACATTTCTCCTAACCACCTCCTGCTTTCTCTTCCTTGTTCACTAGGTCACAGTTGCACTGGCCTTTCCTTTGGCCAAGGAATCAGCTTTAGGATGCACTGGATGCCCCGGTTTAAGGATGCAAGTACTGTATCTGGAAGGTGTCCTGGTAGCTGAATGTCTGTCCTCTATGCACCCTATGTTTTTTATTATATTGAAAATATATATTGACATACATATATGTTTTTGATCTACCATGCTTCTTGTGGCATTACCCATCTGCTGCCTGGGGCGCAGAAAAGGAGAGCAGTGGATGGAGCAACCGACAGTGGGAAAATCCTGCTGGGCTCTCATCAGTTTCGAGGAGGAATATTTCAGTGGAAATCTTTTGTCTGGAAAATGCCTGCCCATTGTAATGGAAACGGTTCATAGGAAGAGGTTTGTTTGGACAAATTTTCTGTTAAGTGTTTCTGGGGGAGGGAAAACAGGTTGGAAATGTTCCAAACCCTCCCACTTCAGCAATTGCAAAATAACAGTATTTGAACCTCCCTTTAGAAATAACCATGAGAGCTTAGAATTTTAAATTAAGAAATAATAAATTCATTAATAAATTAATGAACTTGCACAAAGTAAAAAAAAAAAAAAGTGCCTGTGTGGAAACAGGCAGGTGTTAGTTTTCAGCCAAAGCAAATTCTGTCTCCTGCAAGGTTACTTCCATCTCCTTAGGTGCAGGGAGACATCTGAGCTCTTCCATCTTGTTCAAGAGCCTCTAATTCCCTTCTCCAGATGCCTGCGTGTTGGGGAACAAGCGGCATCATGAACCCCACCTCTGCCCCTTTCTCTAAGCCTGCTGCTTTGCTTTGCACAAAAGCTTTCCCCCCAAGTACTACACCACCTTAGCGACTTTGCTATAAAATTAAAAAGAAAATTAAAGCTGTTTCAGAACTGTCGTATCGATGCAAAAAAGCGAGACAGCGTACGTGACGGTGGGGAAGGCCGGTTATTTGGATTGAAGCCGGAGAGGTGCAACTGCAGCATCCGCTGATGCACAGCGAGCATCAGCAATGCCGTTCTCATTGCCTGTAGGCACCGGCCCTGCTGGGGTCCGGCGCTACCTGCGAGACGCATACCCAGTGAGAACGGTCCCTGCCCCGTGATTTTAAGCAGACAGCAGAGGACAGAGATGATGCGCTCAGGACCAAAGGACGGAGGGTGGGCATCCCTTCCAGGTGATGCTGCAGCAGCTGGGTCCACCCGGGAGGTGAATCTCCGGGGCAGCACTGCCGGCTGTCCCGCACCGGGCAGGGGCTGGATCTTGGCATCGCGCAACGGAGCCGGAGAAGGTGCCTGACAACCTCTGTGGCATTCCTGTCCCGTGCAAGCCACACCAAGTAGTTTTAAGAGAAAAAGAGCATTCTGGGCAGGCATGAAGGGCCTCAAAGCCCTTTGTCTGATAGCAGGCACAATTCACCCCTTTGCTGAAGCCAGCAGTATTGCCCTCTAATGAAGAGAGAAATTTTCCAATCCATGTGCTCTTACTACTAAGAATTACACAGCTACTAACTGAATTGGTTTCTATACTCTCAGCCTTTTAAAAATCCCATTATTACCAGCACAGCAGCTGTAACCCATAGGCAACTTCTATGGTTTAATGATAAAAACTTTGGATTGGAGACACGTTATTTTTAGGTGGTTGTCTAATAGAAGCAGCGAGGATGGTGCAGTCTATATTCCTTCAAATGCTTTTCAGCTTGTAGCTACTACAGCTGTCAGCAACACAAGAGATGTCTCATGATGCAGGAAGAAACAACCTGTCACCCTTCAGAGCAAGAAACCGATTCCTTCATCCCACACCGCGACTCGTGGGAAAGAGAAGTTAAAGCAGAATTATCACAAAAGAACAGAATTATTACAGTAAGGACAAGGCGTGTTCTGCATGAGTCTTGTACATGGTCTTTGTATTTATATCGACGAGAGGAAAAATTAAAATCAGGCAAGGAAAAAATACCTTTGAGGAAAATAATGTCCTGTACATTGAAATGTTCTACCTTTACACTTACTTGACAAAAGTCACTTACTACAAAACACCTCAGCATCACGAACCTCAGCAAAAACACTCCTTTTGTTAACCAGGAAACAGGTTCTTTTATTCTAGCGCCATCAAATAAACCCTGTAAACCTGGTACGGCCACATTTTTCCCAGCAACCTGACTTCTGCCACCCCTGAATTTAAACGCTGAGCTTTCCGATGGTAGGTACTACACGTATGAATGTCTGGCCGCTTCCCTTTGGTGGCCCCCCGTGAAGCCGGGCTCCCCAAATCCCCCTGCCCAGCACCGCTTCGCCCTCCCTGGGGCGCAAGCAGAGCATCTCACCTCGGAACAGCACGCAGCCGAACAGCCAGAGGAGCGGATGGACGGACGGAGCCAGCATCTTCTTGGTGGCTTGTGGCTCTGCAGCCTTGCTGGGGATCTATCCATCCCGGGAGGGACGAGAGGGTGAGGAGCGATTTGCCTGCCTGGGCTGACTCTTGCAGAGCTTCCTGTTAAAGAATAGAAGGAAACGGGCTGAATCCACAGGGGAACTGTGTTTTTTAGCCCATTATGGTCGGAGAGGATGTGAGACATCGCTTACCAATGGCAAAGGAAACCTCGCCATCAGTTTGTTGGGGGATTCGGCTCTCATAGCGGGGGAGAGCGGCGTCACGGCGGGCCTGCCCTGCTTTGGCCCTCAGTAGCTTCTTTATGGTGCTTGGGTTTTTTTGGGAGATGCTTTGTTTGTGGTGAAGATGTGCACCCCAGGTCCAATCCACTCCGCATCAGCCATGAAGGCTGTGGGCCACGTTGGTCCTTCCTGGGCTAATTGCTGCTGGAGGAGCCAGTCCTCCCCTCCCACCTGAGAGGGGATTTCTTAACATCTCCAGGGGGGATTTGGAAATATTTTCTCCTCGTGGGGCCAGGATAACTCAGCAGGTGGTGCTGCCTATGACCTGTACCTCTCTGTGCAGCTCCAGCAAGTCTGGGCACCAGGATGTGCTGGTTTTGGGACACTGTTTTTCAGGTAGCAGCAGCATCCTTCCCCACAGGACACACAGCACACAGCAGGCTTTGACTTACCCTAACCCCAGTTCCTTGACAAGGGGAGGAACTGGGAAATTGGGCTGGTTCTGCCCCCCATCCAGCTCAAGGGATTTGGGGCATTTGGTTTCTTGGCTCCAACCTTGTGATGCACTTGTTTATGCACATGCTGTCTGTCTGTCTGTCTGTCTGTCCCGTCCTGGCATAGTTTGAATTTCAGAGGTAACAAGTTGCCCCGTGTTGGATGTGAACGGGTGTTTGGGGGGAGAAGAAGGGTCTTAGTGTCCCCACGTGGGAAAGGCTCCTGTGTCCGCCCATCTTGGAGGGTCTGTGTCGGTGTTCAGGATGCAAATCCACAGGATTGTGTCTTCTGGCTCGAGGTGCTGGTCCAGCCCCTTCCCTCAGCCCCCTGGAAAGCTGCAGAGCCTCAGCCGAGGGCAAGAGAGCTGCTCCTTCACTGCACGGAGCGCATCAAGGGGGTGTCTTCTGCTGCTGGCAACGTCCTTGCTTTCCATGGCCGGGAGACGATGGCAGGAACGGAGGGAGAGATCTCCCATGCTCTGCTCAGCTCCTTGTGTTTCAGTGGGTCTTTTCAAACACCTACAGCAGACCATCAGGCCAAAAGCAGCCAGCATGCCACAGCAGCCTTTGCTTTTACAAACCCTCTGTTAGCAGCCTCCCCCATCATTTTTCTCTCTTTTGCACAGATGTGGTGCTCAGAGATTATGCTGTAGATTAAGGTTTTACTGAATCCTGAAATGAGTGCAAATTCCCAGAAGCTCTAATGTGCAGCCAAATCTGCGGCCACTCAGCTGGATGGGGGAAGAGACATTTCCCATCCCATCCTTCCCATGTGCAAGAAAAACAGAACCCAAATATTCAGCCCAGCTTGTCTGCTGAGAGCTTTCAGGTAAGGGCAGTGTTGTTTTGGGATGGGAAGATGGGGAGACATGTTTCATAATGACTTTGCAGACATAAAGCTCTGAAGGATCCATCTTTTCTGCTCTGAGATGTGCTCGGGGTCCCCCCGGGTGGCAGAGGGTCTGACTGCACGGCATCCCCGGACCAGGGGTATGGTACCCGTCTGCGTGCGAGGGTAAACGCTGCCGGACTTGAGGGCATCCCTGCAGCCTTGCTGGTGTGGTCAGCGTGCCAGGGGAGAGATGGGCGAGCACCGACCTGGCGCTGGCTCCTGCCTGTGACCCTGAGTGTGTCCCAGGGTCTGGAGTTCCCCGTGGGCTCACACCGCTGCCGGTTGTAGCAGTGCTGATGGGTGGTCCTCCTGCAGCAGTGGGACCCCTGGCAGAAAAAAAATTCAACCCTGGGGCTGCATCATGGCTCAGGGCGAGGGTCCTCCCACCCTGGAGCATTGCGTGGATACGCTTTGCTGGGCTGTGCATGCAGAAGGGTGATTTTTTCACACTGATTCCTGAACCGCATGAAATTTTAATGCCGAGCTGGTGGAAGGAGGGAGGTTTCCTGCAGTTAGGCGGCCGGGGGTTGCGTGCGTGCAGCCGAAGGGGCGGTAGGTGCTTTCTCCCCGAACAAAAGGGCGCTTGTCTTGCAACGGGCAAGAGGAGGGTTTTTTTTTTCCCAGTGAGGGTGTGTGGCAGCGAGGGAGGGGACGGCAGCGCTGATGTGGCACCGGGTTAGGTGAGGGAGCACCTCTGCTGCTTGCGGGATGAGCAGGCGCTTCCTCCTCTGCCCAGGGGAACCCCGGGGGGGTGCGGGGCCGAGGCGTGACGTGGCAGCTGCTGAGGTAAGTCTGGCTGCACCTACACCCGAGAACCATCCCGGAGGTTTTTCTGCTGGTCCTGCCTTCGGCTTCCCAGCCTCGCCGCTGGAGACGATGATTCCCACGCAGCAGGGACGCCGAGGTACCCCCACGGGGCTGGGGAGGGCTCTCCCTCCCTCCTCTTCCCCCCACTTGCCCCCTGCTCCCACCCGTGCTGGGTCCCGTGGGGTTTGGCGGCTGTCGCGAGGGGTGCCCCTTGGCATGCTCTGGTGGGGTTGGGTCTCCCAGGGAGGTCCCCGTGGGGTTTGGTTTTGGATTAACGCTGCGGGGCTGGGGATGAAGAGGGGAGGGTGGAGGGGTCCCCTCCTGGGGCTCCCCGTTCCCAGCACTGGCCGCAGCCGGGGCGCGAGGTGCAGCAGGGAGGGAAACCCGCCCCCCCTCCCCACCAAATGTGTCCAGGACAAGGGGATGCAGGGCATTGCCTCCCTGCCTGAACGTGTCCAGGGCACCATCCCCACAACCCCAGCTATAACCACCAAAATTTATCCTGTCCCACGAGCCCAGGGGAGGGAGCACGTACGGGACGGTCCCATTCCCCGGCAGCTGCAAGTGCAGGCAGGAGCTGCTGACCCGAGGGCAGGAGATGATAAGGATGTTGGACGGCCTCTGCTCGGTGGTCACCCCTTTCCACCCTGTGTCTCTCTGTCCCAGCTCAGCCTGCTCAGCCATGAACACCTCCGTGCCCGGCAGCCAGCTGAGACAGCCCGAGCCCCAGGATGCAGCTGCCTTCACTCCTATCTCCGTTGTCAGGAGCGTGACAAAGAAATCCGATGCCCTGCCCATGATCTCCGTGATCGTCATCATCTTTGTCCTCTTGGCCGTCTTCATCATCATTGTGGTGCACTACGGCCCTCACCTCCGCACCGTCCAGATCACCCTTTACCATGAGCCCATGCCGCAGGACCTGGACAATGGAGTGTACCTCACGGACTGGAAGAAGCTGGGCTCCCAGAAGAAGCTGCCCGCCCAGCCCTGCCAGCAGGAGCCGGGTGGCACGGACACAGCCGGCATGAGCTGTCAGTGCTCCTGCAAACATCACCTTCCCTGCGGGAGCGCCGAGCCCAACGTCATCGAGATCACGTACCTGTGACAAGGCTGTGGGCCACCTGGGCAGGACTCGAGGGACCATGTCCCGCTGGAAAAATAGTGACTGGGATGTTAGCTTAGCCCAAGACTCACCAGTTCCAGCATGTGGAGGTTTTAGCTCTCTGGGATTGTGTCTCTCCCCAGGTAGGCTCAGACAGAAGGTTGGGTCACTGCAGTGACCCATCATCAGGCCCCAAAAGTCCAGCCCAGGGACACCACTGTCCCCAGGCAAGAGCTGGGTCCCCAGCCCAGACTCTGGGGCTGGGTAAGCCTACGTGGGACAGCGTTAGCATCTCTTCTGTTTTTTTCTGTCCCACACTGTCTGGGAGTGCCCAGGAGAGCCGTCTTGGTCCTTGCCCCAGCTGAGGAGCTCTGGGCATGTGCTTGGCCCCTTGGCAGGAGCTGGAATTTCCATCACCTGGGATCGCTTTCCAGATTAAAGGTGTTTCCACATCCACAGTGTCCTCACTGTGCCATTTATATGGCACAAAAAAGCCTCCAGCCCCTCTTTTCCTCCATGCCACAGCCCCTTTCCCTCCATTGGAGGGCTGAAACACCGTCCTCCCTCTGCCAGCCCCGGCAGTGGGGTCAGCCTGTTGTGGCAAACAGCCAGAGGAAAGGAGGCAGCACCCAAACCTGTGTTGGTGCTTGAGTGGTGGAGCCAGCAGCAGAGGACAACGTGTCTGGTCACCCAGTGGAGGTGGGTGGGAGAAGAGAGGTGACACGGCAGAGGCAGGAGAGGTGACAAAGGATAACGGCACATCAGCCACCCATTGCAGTTGGCTGAACATCTCCAAGTGTTGGCACTGGTGGGGAAACGCATGCATCTCTGGGCAGAGCCTGCAGCATCTCCACGCACAATGGCAGTGATGGGGAGACCTGAGGTCATCTTCATTGTCCCCATCACTGTCTGCTGTCCCTGTGCCAAGGGAAGCTCTACCTGGGGACTTGGGTGATTTCAGCATTGGAAGCAGCAGGGCACGTCCCAGCTGAGGAGGGAGCGGTGGTGGTGTCAGCACAGCCAACCCTGTTGGGATGGATGTTGATGTGGCTCGGTCACCCTGGGCAGAAGCTCATTGAGGTGGCACAGAGGGAGCAGTCAGAGGGGTGAAACATCATCCTGAGCCCTGTAAGGCTCCTGGTGATAGCAGACCATGGTGACCTCCTCCACCCTGGGAGTCCTGCTGCTGCTGGAGTGCTGGGCATCTCTTTGGAGAAGAGATTGGTGGCAAGTGCTTCTCCTCACTTGGTGGAAGGTGGACATCAAAGCCTGTCTTAAGTGCATGGGCTTAGAGGACAATCCCTGGGGGAGGAGCGCAGCCTCTGGGATCACCCTCAAGGATTTATTCTGCTGAATAGTCTTTGGATTCAAAATATGGTTCCTGCCTCTCCTCTCCCCATCCCAGAACAAAAAAGCTAGATCTGTGTCCATCCTAAGCTGCATCCCCAGCACAGATCCCTCTGTGCACTGTTGG